GGGTTGGTACATAAAAAAAACCGGAGCAATAACTTCGAAGAAAGTTCATTGAAATTTTTAGTAATCTTTAAATCTCTTAGACATCAATATACGTATTGTTATCCGTTCGAAGATTATTCTCGATAACGTATCTCTGCTAATAAAATTATGAGTCATGTCGTACTGTAGCAAAAAATGCAATTCCATTCGACGTACAAGGAGGCCAATAACGAGTCAAATATTAATTAAATGATAACAAAGGCTCAAAGCAAAATCGAATAATATATACAATCATTATAATTTGCAATTGATGTTTGAGATCTTTCTCGAGTTAAAATAGCTTTGTCAACAGGTGGAGCCCTTTTATAGATATAGTGGGGGAAGTATCAGAGAGAGGGGGAGGGGGAAGTCCTCTAACCTCCAAAATTGACATTAAACAGTACTCCCGCAAAAATTGAAGAATGACAAAGTGTAAATCGTCTTTTTTTTTTTTTAAATATGTTGGTCCGTCGACTCCATACTGGTCTTTACTCTCTCTCTGCGTCTGTCTGTCTCTCTTATCAGCGTTATCGTGAAAAAAACACGGGCATGGTAACAAGGAGAACGGCGCGTCTTTCGACCAGCTGGTGGAACGCGTGACGTCACGCGTCTACCTACACCGCCACTATGGTAGCCTCTCACCCTCTATCGATACACTCGGCTCTCCCCACTCCACCAACATTCTCCCTCCAACCGCTAGCTAAACACACACGCAGGAATCACGATCAGTCTCTATATGTACGTGCACACTATCGAACGTGGCACGAGACACGTGTCAGGGCCGTAGCTCCTGTTGGGTGCATCGGTGAGGCTCATTGAATCGTCACGCTATATTTACTCGTTGCTCGTGATTTACCTCCGGAGATGAGGTTGAACTCCTATTCTTGGCAGCATTAGTCGTTATCGATGATCATAATTTTAGAATCCACGAGTTTCGAGGAAGACCACTGCCAATCGTGAATCATAGAAATAATCTTGCGACAGTGAATTGTCACACACCTCTCAGTGATTCGTGTTGCCGGTGAGTGAAGTTCGTGTATAACCTCTTGTGATGAGTTATTCAAGAGCATTGTATAAATTTTTTCGGTCAGATGTCTTGTTTGCGACGTAGTCGATTGCGTGTAACTGAGAAACGAAAAATAAACGAAAATCCAAAGCACACACAAAGGAAACGTATTCGCGCAGCACGACCCTGATTCCTAGTGGATACAGGACAGAGACACGCGTCGCGTGGGAGGGGGGGAGCCGAGTATCGGCGATACGAGCCGATCCATCCCCACCCAATCACGGCCGATCTCTCTGGCTCGAGTTTGAAAAAGTGGAGGGGCGTCGTTGGTAGGGATAACATCTGCTCTTAGCGTGATTGCCGTGTATTGATGTGGCTTTACTGCGCGCGGCAGCCTACGGACAACAAAGTGAACTGACGGTCGTTAATGTTCCCTCGCTACGCGAAATTCGAGGCCGTCGGAATATCGCGCGCGCGTACGACTCTGGGTTGCCTTGATGCGTTCCGCCCGAGATTTGCAAAGTTACAAAGCGCCGAGTAGATGATCCCACCGGACAAGGGGTACAAAGACTTTCTGGTATCCAGTTATTATTATATTGTATTTTCGATCGATTTGTAGACCGACGTTTCTGGAGTATTGGTAGACGAATGGACCGATGAAGTATTTTCGAATTGCATTTTTATTAATCGTATTAATTCAACAAAGTATAAATTTCTATAGTATATATTTTTATCGAAATATAAATTCCCATAATCGCTGGAAACGATCGATATAGGGTTGGAATTGACATAGACGAGAGAGACCGCGGGACATACATACACGTGCGTATATACATACATGCGATAGGATGCTGCAATAGAGGCAGGTAATAATCGTCGTAATACTCCTTTGTAGGTTACATAAGACTTTTTAAAAAGCTGTGGTTATAGAAATAATAGAGCGTCTGAGGTTGCGTAGTATCGGCGCTAAGAAAAACTGTTGTTGTGTAATTAATTTGCATTCGATCAAGATATTCCTTGGCACTCTTTATACTCGAATCTACGATAATGTTAATCATTTATGTTTCGAGTGATTTGCGACGAGTTTGTACCGATCGTGTTGACTATCGATAATGCGGAATTTAAAAGGGGAAACGATCGATTAGAAGCGGCCTCTCGATTTGCTCTCGACCCTGTTCGCGCGAGTCTAGGGCGTTACGTTACGCGAAGTCTGTGATTCGGAGAAAGTGAGGGGTGACATTCTTTTCACGCATTCCTCGCTTACGTATTACCGAATCGTTAATAGAGGCCACCAAATGTATCACGAATAGCAACATTGCTTTTTACATCCGTTAAAAATTTCAACCTGTTGCATCACATGCGATATTTTTACTGACATATATTTTTTTTTTAAATACAACACATACGCGTATCACTTTTTATAGGTTATGATTTACTTTTACCGTTTTCGGATAAATAATTTGGCGTTTTATGAAGGCAAAGAATATTCCTACCGATAAATACTGTTTAACGTAAAATGTACGGAAGGCAAGAAAGATCTGCGAAAATGCAAGGTCGTTTAATCACCGCTTACAGCTCATAAACTTAGCAAATGCGTCACTGGGTCGATTCGATTTTACGTAAGACGCGGTCGCTGTACGTCGCGCACTACGATTCATGTTTCTTCGATTCTCTGCTCGTAATAATAGTAAAACTTTTTATTAGAAACTCGACGAAAATAATGAGTAACTAATTTTTGCAGTGACGCAGCATCGATGTCGCATAATCTACTCGAGGTCCTTTACAGATTCACTTTCTCGACAACTTATGCGACAAATGCAAGTTCCGCCTGTCTATTTAGACGATTTTCAACAATTACTTGTGCGTGTTTGTAACGGATATTAAATATCCTGATAATGGACGCGAAGCCAGCAATCGATAGGTAACCGCGAGAGTCGGAAACAAAAGCGAAAGAAATTATACTTTTTCCGGTTTATTTTAAAATGCGCATCGTTCGTTCGAAGAATCGTCGTGCTTTCACGCTCGCCAGGGATAAGATGTCGCTGTCGTCGCCGTCGTTGTGGCGCATTGTCACGAAGTTTCGCGGATACTTATAACGGTCACTCGCGGAAACAAAGCATTCTAAATACGAACAACATTTTTTTTTCCCAATCCCGTCTTCGCTTATTGCGGCTGCAGGAGAAAGTCGACCGAACGGTCACGGCCTATTTAACGATTGCTTCGTACAATTTCATCGTTTGTGTACACTTCGAAACGGCTGGGCAGCTCGAAAGAAATCAGAGAGATTACGACAGTCGATTGACATGACACGTAAATATGGTGTCGACAAAAAATTCCGTCCGTTCGACTTTCAATGATTTTTCGTATAATCAAGAGTGTTTTGTGAAAAACAGCGATGCAAAAATAAACGTAATAATAACCTGAAAAGTGAAAAGGAATCGCGACAGATTCGGTGAAACGAGAACCCGCGTCCTTCATGGAAACGAGACTTCCAGCAAGTTGAGGCAAGCTCTATCAACATAGATCTTAAAAAATCCATGTCTCTCGAGAACGTTATCTCGATGATATATCTCTGTTATATTAGAATATCGTGGTATCCACTTCCGCGACGCGTAAAGCTGCTCTCAGAATTACGAGCCTTGTTCGTCCACGAACCAAGAGAATTTTCTATTTTCGATACCCGTGGTCTTGAAACAGACGTGTTTTCTGTTTTTCAAGTTTTACGATAACGTTCGTTTTCGTAAACACCGTTTATATTTCTCCTGAATTTATTGACTCAAGCGCGGCAACAGAAACGCAATACCGAAGGTTCCAATCAAAAGAAGAAGCATTAATTTGGATTAAATTCAAAGCATTCTGTGACTATCAAGGGAGGATACGGTCGCACACTCGCCATAAAAGAAATCCGCACGTTTCATTATTCGAACAGAGTAAAAGTACTCGGCCACGGTGCAATTAACGAGGAATCCTTAACGGAATTTCCCGCGCGTACGTGTTTATGTATACACGCGCGGTACCTGTCGGTCGTCGTTTCTCGAAGGGTATACATCTGAAGCTGACTGCTTCGTTGATGCGTTGAACCGACGAGAAAACGATATCCCACTGTTTCGACGTTAACAAAGCTTCCGAATTTAGCCTTTTCCTCACTAGGAACGTAATTTTCGATTCTCCAGAAACATCATTTACATATACACATGAAACGAACATAAGATCTGTTTCCGAATCCGCGAAAACAAACTCAATGTCAATCGCCATCTGGTGGCGTATGCTAGAAACTCAATTTTACAGTCGTAGCGTTACCGATCCTGTAAGCATGTGTATCGCAACGTGATTCACGTTAAAGAATAAAAGATACAATTTATTCTTGAAATTTCAAAGTGCAGTCGACAGAGAGAGGAAGGGAGGGAATCAACACGTTCCGAAAAAAGATAAACAATGGCTGTCTTAAAGGACAGAAGAGGAGAAAGCGATTGCCGTTTCAAGTAGTCCGGGGGCCAGAGGCGCGCGTCACTAAATGTGTTCGCGCGCGACAACCAGAGGCTCGGGACAAACGGTGTTTGCTGCTGCGTGCGTGTGGGGCAGTGTGGGGTAAACCTGTGCTGCGCGTCGCGTTCAGGAGGAAGAGAAGCAGCACGCTTGCGCACGAGCCGTCACGGGTATACACACACACAACGGTCACTCGTGACGTCACGCGACGCCCGATAACACTTTTGTTGTCGTCGGGGGGGGGGGGGGCTATCGTCGTGCGTACGCCACGATTACGCGTGACGCACAGATCAGTCCGAGACACCAAGTGCGTCTCACGCGAAACAGACTTGCTGCGCGCGACAACGACGACGACGTTCTTCCATCGAAATTTCCTGTCGAATTTTCGGAAATAATCTGTCAAAGTGTTGTGTGAATTGTGAACAATTAACATTTTTCTTTTCTTTCTGGTTGCATCGTACCAAGGAATGTGGAAAGTGTCACGTTCGGTGTGTGTAGCCCGTTCGACGACACGGTTTTGCATAGCTTGAAAGTGAGTTCCTATTCGATGGTGTACACAATGTTATTCGAGGAGGCGCGATTTGCTTTCCCTTTTGACGTTTCTTCTCGTAGAGAAGCCAGTTGTACCTGTCGTTTCTACGTAGGATTGGAAACGCGTTTAGATTGTAACACGTGTAATTTTGTGGTTTTGTCGCTAGTTGTACCGGTATTGTTAGATCGTCCTTGCACGGATGGACGAAATAATCCTTTCGTATAATTGTAACTTCTGGTATTGTTTTACGTGAATAAAAATCTGTAACAGCAAAAACAATAACATTATGGAATCAGAGCGAGTTGTTCTTGTTCTAATTTTACGTACGTTTATCAGTATTTTAATGAAAAGAACGCACGCCGCCATGTACTGGATATCTATGCGCGTGAAAAAAGACTCGAATGAAAAACATCGATTGATAAAACAGAGAACGATCAAAGTTTAATAATTTATCGACTAATTTACGCCTATATCTGTAGAATTTCACCGCGGGAAAACGTTTGAAAATTTTTCGCTTTTATGTACGTGACTACGAAATCAGCTGCGAAATAAAATAAACGGGCGATAATCAAATTGGATAAGTGTAAACGAGCCGAAACCGGAGAGATAAGTATCGCGAATTAACGACAGAAAAGAGCAGACCGGTGAATACACATACACACACCCAGTTCCCCATTCGTATTTATTTATAAGCGTGTAAAAGTGCTCGCTTGCCGATTTCTTTTTATCCGCGCATTCCTCTCAAGGCCCCTCCAGGGAATGGACGGACGGCAACGGTCTGACCTGGTCGTCCCCATACACACCGACCGCTTTCTACTTTGAACGGTTCAATATGGTGACTCTTCGAAGCCTTTTCCTTAGCCTCGCGCCTTCGCTACCAACACATATCGATAGCCATGATAAACACGATACATTGGACATGTACGTTTCGCGAATCCTCTGGGTTTTATGATACCGAGAACAAAGAAGGTTATAGATTTCGTTATACAAAGAACGAAATTGAAACTTTGAAACGGGTTCCACTTTTATCCATCAATCCCCCCCCCCTTTTTTTCCCTTGATTATCAAAAGCTACAAGAATGAAAACGCGCGACAATTTGAAAGTTGTGTGTACCGTGTTCGAGGTATAACAGTGGTTCTCAAAGAGTCAAGTATTTCTGTATTTTATAAGCGACACGTTTAAATGGATCTAATTCCGGCCGAGGTCAAAGCTTCGTTTAATTGCCAGACACTGCTCCTCTACGGTAGGTTATATGATGTAAGATTGGATGTAACGGCATCAAAGTGACGTTATAGTTTTCAGAAAGATTCTCGCGTGTAAATTGGGCGGCACCGAGTGAAATTAAAAGGCGCCAAATTATATCGTATTTTTATTTTTTTTTAAAGCACGCCGTAGAATTTATCTCCGTCGAAATCGGTTGGGATAAATCTCAACTGCGCAACTCGAAATTTCAATAATGTGTAATGTGATAAGATTAGGGAATCAGTGACGTTGAACCAATGCTAGCATAATTTGAATAAGTATCTAATGTTTCGTTTTTTTTTTTATACTTCGTGTATATGTCAACCGTACCAACAGTTAGGTTGTTTCGAATAACTGTATCGTATAAAAATGACGAGAGTGAAGAGAGGGAGGAAGAGAGAGAAGGTACGGATACGTGAGGAGAGGGCAGGGAAGCCGTGTAGATGTGTAAATATATATCGCATGCAAGGCACCAACGTAAAGGGGTGGGGAGAGGACGTCGCGCACGAGTCAGCGACTCCAAAGCAGACTTTACAGGTTAGGTAACGTGTATCCATGGCGGTTTTTTCTCCTCGCGGAGAAAGTTAGCTTAGACACACTTGGAGCATAAAATCGTCTCTCGGTGCACCATGGTTCCTCTCTATTTTCCGTGACAGTAAATTGAAGTAACCTTCCAACGAAAATCCATTAAATTCTCGTCGATAAGCTGCCCTTTCATCAGTCTGCCAAGTAGCTGGCAATTGAATTGTAATTCGACGACGAAACTGTCTCTTTTTATGCGTTAACCGCACAGTTGTAAAAGCAGACGTATTCGCGGTGACACGGATTAATTTGGTTATCAATTGTCAAGCACAGAATGGTTGTGTCGATTAAAGCTCAATACCGATACGAACAAAAGAATTTTAGCAACAAGTGTCATACATTCAAGCTTTCGGAATGTCTATTCTTTTGACGTGTGATTAATCTTACGCGGCGGCCATCTTGTTACTGAAAATCGAACGTGTCGGAGCTGCCATCTGTCGGCCAATCGAACTATTCGATCTCCGAATTATTTCTGTCCGCGGACGTGACTCAACTGGTCATTCGTGGAAATAGTTTCCGAGAAAGATTCATCTCTTCCCGCTAGATGTTAATTATTAGGCACGAAAATGCGAATGTATGATTCATTTCGCGAGAAGAATATGAACGGTTTTCCCAAGAAAAGTTTAAACCATGTGTCTAAAGCCGCACGAAAAATAGATCTTTTCACACCAACGTTTAACCTGTAACGACAGTGTCAGTTTACATACCTTTTATACCTCTTCCTACGGGTCTAAGTAATGTTTCAGTGAACTACATAATTCTATATGCAATTTCTGTAACCAGCCGTGTAAAACATACTCTGCGGAACCGTTATTCGGAATGTAATGCGATTACTAATGGAATCGAGTAAACGTAAAGTAACAGAAGAGACAGAACAATTTTATGATTGTTCTGCATTAAAACCGAGGTGGAACCTTTTAACAACACCGGAAATAGGTCTCATCCACTTTCGAGAGGGGGACAAACGGGATCATTTTGAAAAATAGTTTTCACCACTTGGAACAGTTCGTATTTACAGATATGTTTTATTCAACTATCATTTTCTATTCGACAATTATTATTATTCTTCTGTTTCTGGTGACAATGTCACTGTCATTCTAGGAACGTTATTTGTACTTTCCGTGAATCAAGTATACATACCTGTTTCAGAATTCTCTCTGGGCGGAAACACTAGGGAAGCTCGTGGCGTACGGGAATCCCGTTGCTCCCATGCGTACAAAAAGCAAACTCTATAAATAGTACATTACGCAGTCTGTTAATCGCTCATGCATGTTCGGTGCGCCTGTAGGAACATTGACATCTTATCACAATTCGACGGAAAAGATTAGTTTGTGATCTCGATGATTCGGTATATTAACATATTCGACTGTCCTTACCGATATTTATCTACAATAAACCAAAACGTATATTTACATTCACTAGCAAACTGGGCTTCCACTAGGGAAAAAAGTGGCGTAGGAGAAGGGCCTCCAACTATGCTCCTATCTGTTGGTATTAGGAATTACTGAAATTTATGCCAAATTAACATTCGATTTAACCTTTATTTCAGTACTTGAAGAAAATTTACCACGTGGTAGGAGGCTTTCCTCTTACGTCACTTTTTTCCCTAGCGGAAGCCGAGTTTGTTTACGAGGTTACATACTTGAATATATTTTCTAAGACGAACCGTACCATCGGTTGGTTGAGCCAGATTATTGGACCGGCGGTGCAGTACAGTTGGTCCTAATTTTACAAAATTATAGACGGTTAGGAATGTTATGCACAGCGAGAAATCAACGGAAGTTCGTATTTGGGTCGGTCGCCGCGACAACAGCGGAAAAGAATACAAGAAATCTGGCCTATTATCGGCGGCGCAGTAACGCATCATGTAAACACACACGTAAATACGCATTCGCGTACCGCTAACCTGCCCTCGTATAGTCGAGCGCGTGACTGTCCCCTCGGTGATACCGTTACAAGAAACGTTTTTCTTGTTTCCTTCGTGAAATGTTTACGATAAAGAGTAAACGATCAGTTAACAGTATCGAAATTTCAAACCGTATATTTCGTGTTCACGCAAAGACACGCAAACAAGGAAGAGAAAAAGAAAACATTTTTCGTCCGTTTTTGTTTCAGACGCTAAAATGAGATTAGAAGAGGATCTAGTGATACGTAGGAGCCGACCAACGATGATTTCCGCCAAGTATCGCGCGAGAGAGGAACGCCGCCGTTTACTGAAGATTTCGGCTGGGAAACTAAGGAGGATCGAGGATCCGGAGGCCAGCCTCTGCAGATCGGTCCTCATAAACAATGCCGTGAGGCGGCTGCAACGGGAGAACCGGGACGAAAAGACGAGGAATTACGGTCTTCCGGTGGTCACGTATCTGAACGACTCCACCAAAGAGAACAACGTATCCAGCAACCTTATCGTCGGTGTAACGGACGACGAGACGTCCTCGAGGAAAAGGTACGGAATCAGGCGTGTCCTCTTCGATTACCTAAAATTTCGAAAGGGACTTCGAGCGATTTCATCGTTATACGAAAAAAAAAGAAGAAAAAATAGAATCACAGTCTAGCCTCGTTACTTGTTCATCAACATACCCTGGAGGTGAATAAATATCCACGTGTTGCAAAGAATCGTTTAAATCACCATACTGTACAAATCTACAGCTGTAATGGAAGAATAGCACGAGATTTTAATCGCTAGAGCGCTTCGTTTTACATAATATAGATTACGCAAGATAGCAATGGGGAATGGATCGTGCGCGGTGTCATTACGTAATATCTTTAAGGGAGGGGCGGGGGGGTTGTCGACACGCGTGTAATATGTACAATTTCTCGTTGTAACTTTCGATCCGTGTATCCCTCCGAATACTACCCCCCACCACCCCGATCGTGTCACAGTCGTCGTCGTCGTGTGTGTTATATTCCGTGATTCATTTTTCCGTAGATTGAGCGACGACACGAGGAACGATGTGCTCAGTCCGAAACGGCAGAGGCACGATGACCTCGACCTCCAGGACGACGTGTTCAGCGAGTTTTATATCCTGCCGCCGACGCCACGGCTACTGTCTCACATCGACGAGGTCCAAGAACCGGACACCACGCATCACCACCATCTGGTGTACCCGGAGGATCGTTTGGGCTCGGTAGACGTTCGATCGGCGACGACAATGATTAGCACAAGCACCGCCAACACCACCACCAGCAACACCAGCAACAGCACCACGACCACGAGTAGTAGTTGCTGCAACCCGGTCATGTTTCCTAGCGAGTTGGACGATTCGGGCGCCCAATTGACGCATGTCGCGAGATCCAACGACGTTAACATGATGGAGACGTCGGATGTGGTCGATCCAGACAGAATCTGCGACTTCGCCAGGTTCGCGGACTCTGCGAAGAGCCTGGAGGAACGTCTGGTCGAGCTCCAGTCGTTGGACGAGCATTTCGATCTGGCGAAATTCGAGCGTAACAACAATCAGAGCTGCGGCCGCGCGTTCCACGATATACAGACGTTCCACAGTCTGGTACCTGGCCTGGAGACTTAGAAGGGAGCCTCGTGCCTCGAGCACCCACCATCTGTCGTCGTGTCCGGCTCCGGGGAGGGTCGCGACCATCGCCTCGACAACGACGACGCAGGGTAGACGGTTTCGTGGCACACACGAGGAACCACACGGCGAGAGGATGAACCTAAAACTCGGAAGGCGGAGAGACTGGACACAGTTGGCTGTGCTCTGTGTGCTCCCCGACCATATGTACCCGTTTGTTCGGAGGACTCCTACTGACATCAGGACGTAACGGAGGATGTTTGGTACCGCGAAGAATTCGCGAGGGAAGGCTTCTTGGGGACAGCTGCATCCCTCGGGGTAGATCTTGTCTGGGAATGCAGCTGGGGAAAGGGATTCGATAGTTCTGTTTTCCGTCGGGACTCTGAAAGGGAGGCTGAAGCTAATGGGTCGGTTGACTACAAGATTGAATCTGGGAACAAAACAACTTTTATTCGGAATGCTTGTGGGCGTCTGTTTTGTAATGAATTTCTCTTGTCACGTGTTACTCGTACTTTGGATGATGTTTACTTTCCCGGAATTGCCAAGCTCGTTAAAGGTGGGGTTGGGCAGCCCGTGAACCTTAGGTTACATGTACCGAGAGCATGCTGTGGGATGCCTTTTGAATAGCCCGATGATGAGCGTTCCTTCATCGCAGTCGCCGGATTCGTTGGATGTGTTTCAGTTAGAGTTGAATCGGATATTTCGTGGCGGTGTAGTACGTATAAATGGGTATCTCTAAAGGGTTGTATACCGAAGGTTGTACGTACGAACGGATCGGTACCAGAATGTCCTGAATTACGCATAGGTATATACATATATGTATATAATTCGAGTACGTTTATAAGAATACGTGACTATAACGTGTTATAGATGAATTTTTAGTGGAATTTCTCACGGACAAGCTGAGAAGAAAGAATAAACACCGAACGGGAAAATGCACTCGCGCCTCTGTAAAAAAATAAAAAAAATAATGCCTTTAGGACTAGCGTTGTGAGTCGATGTAAATGTGGTGTGCGATGAAATCGAACGGATTCACTGTACCCCGCGATAATGCCACGGTGGGCCTTAATTGTAGTGCACGTTCCTCAGTTTTACGTTTAACGGCATTTTGTTTACGCATTGTTTTTTCGTTTCGACAATAACGAGGGTGAGCCCGGATTTCTTTGGGCTCCTTTTAAAAATGCTATCCTCGTGGATCGTTTTAAAATTCACGAGGACCCACATTGATTTTAACAGACGTAAAATTCTACACTGAAGAATGTTCCTCCCGTGAATCTATGTTATATCCATTGCGTTGGGTGGAGTAATCAAACGAATAATACGAGGATAATTCTTCAGTGAACACACGAGGACCCCGTTAATTTTAATCAGATTTTATTCGAGTAATTGTTTCTGGCCGATCACGACTAATCCATTGAACGGATTCGCGATGGGATCGACGAACGGTGTATATAGCGACGAACAGTCGTGTTAGCGGTCCAGGTACATAATTCTGTTCGTTTCTGAAGGTATATATGTTCATACAGATACGTGGAATGACTTACGGTTTCGTAATCGCGACTCCAAAAAATTTTTTTTTTCTTTTTTTTTTTTTTTTTTTTTTTGTAAAATTTTGTTACGATGAAATACACGCGCGACTGTGTATATTGATTTGTATACATTGGTCTTGTATATATATATAATAATAATGTATTGTTTAAAAGATACATATAGATAAGCACGATCGAGATAAAATGGTGTATCTTAAGTGTGGGTTCTGCAGACACTGTGCGGTGCAATACTTTGTCCTTCCGTTTTTACCCGGTGTATGGGAGAGAATCGGCGAATCAATCCCCAAGCATCGATCACGTTTCATTGTATAGTTCCGAAACGGGTGTTTGGTATTTATTCGCGGATCACATCGGGGTGTGACTTCGTGTTAATCCATTTCTATGGGAGTATCCTCGGCACAAAGGAGCTACAGAATAGACGCGTAACATCTTCTATGAAAGTTTATCGTGTCATACGTTAAGAGGTACCGATCTTTGAAAGAAATTTTTAAGACCTTATGCTCTTTCTTTACGATTACAAAGGAATGGCGTTATGAACTGTATTTAACAAGGCCCCTTTTGGTGAATTTGATCGCAAACCATACACGAAATATTAACATTATTTAGTTTGAATTATTCCTAGAACCAGTGTAGTGTTGTAATCATTTTCTGAGCTTGATAAGAGTATAAGAGGGTCGGTAGAACCTCCTGATCGCGTGACACAGAAATACATTGGATGTTAAGCCTATACTTAGCTCTCACCCGTGCAGGTCCCTTCTCCTAACTTATCTCCTCTCTCCCGTTCTGTTCACAAAAGTGCTAAAAAGGAATTGGATATTTGACGACGTATTGTCTTTCACGGCCACTTTTCCCACCCCCATTTTTTCATTTTCGATTGCTCATGTCACGACCATAATTTTTGTTCGAATTCGAACCCTTTCGGCGCCGAGAAACGAGACATTCAACGTGGATGCCCTCTGTGCGTGTATTGCGCAACTAACTCGAAAGGGTTGACGTAAATCTATGGCATTACGTAATCATCGGTGAAATCGAAACATCGCTGCTGGTCACAAAATTAATAGTAAATACAAAAAAAATGCAACAGTGAAAACGCGTGTATTTGTGATCGCAGCGTGGAAATAATGAAAAGAAATCCAATCTTCCTTTTAATTGTTCGAACCACATTTCGAGGATATATTCTCGGTCTCGCGCCTCGATATACAGTTTTTTTTAAAGGCAAATGCCGATAAAATCGACTCGATTTCATGGTTCGACGCGGCCGTCGTGCGTACACACTGTAAATAGCTGCCTTAGCACCCGTAAATCGTAATCAGCTATGTATAAAGTTTCGTACATTGTTTAGATTTTTAGTACTAGTTATCCGAGATCAGTTACCAATTATACGAACAAATTGCGAATAAACTTCAAAAATATAAACACCGTGTTGATCCCGGTCTCTCTTCCCGCCCGTTTCGTCAACAAAGTTAAGACCGTACATATATTTCCGTGATGTTGCGGCAGAAGGAATACAACTCGGACAATGGAACACGTAAATTTCTTGGAATATTTCAAAGAGAACCTTGTATACGTATAGCTTTTTTTTTAATACTTTTTTATTGAGTGTTGCGAATATATATACAAAGGATGGCGAACTAATAACTATTACATAAGAACCAAATAAACAAAGGTTATCATAATAGTATTAACGTGTGTTAATATTTATTTAAATAACGTAATCGTAATGACGTGTGCCGAATTTTCGAAAATAAGAGGACATATTACTCGCGTACACCGGACGCGTATCCTTGTCCCCGTTCGTGTTTATTCGTGTTACAATTTTTCTTTCGATAATAATGGTCTCTCACACCGTATTCAACGTCGCGCTTCGTAACACTCGATCATCGACAAAAGAAAAAAAAAAGAAAAGAAACATTCGATATCGACGTCGTGTCGATATCGTGTCAAAGAATATTGCCTATCGGATGGCTGAGTTCGGAGACGCAACAAATCCACCAAATGTTCTCACTTCTGTCTTTCTTTCTTGCAAGGGAAAATAACGAATTATCACTCAAACGAATCGTAATCGCGTGTTTTCATGGACCGCGAATCGAGACCATTCACAGAGTAGCTCTTATCACGGGCGCGCGCACAACGATCATATATTATCGAGTGTGTTAAAAAGGTGAAAAATTCTCTAACCCCATTTACAGCTCTTCTTTTTATTTTCTATTCGGAGTCAGTGATATGTTTGTGCGTTTAAAGAATCTGCGCGACTGTCGGAAAATCGATCGTGATTATCGAAGTAGAACGATGACCGAATATATTGTATGTTTCGTCTTCGTGGGGGATACAAAATCGTGTAAAAAACGTGCGAACCATGCTCTTCGATAGGACGTTCCGATGTGAACCACCACCTAGATATACAGTCGAATTCGAGATCATGAAAACAGTCGAATCGATTATCCGATTCGAGAAGGTTAACGAATAAATTTCTCGAGCGATATTGGTGGACTGCCCGAGAGAGAGCACATCCTTGAAGTGAGAATAAGAAGTTAAAAAGATCGATCAGAGTTCACGGCAGACTTCACGCGTATATCGATCGATTCGGCGAGTACGATAGATTTTCGGAGAAGTCGGTCGAGAAACAGCAGAGTTATATTGTTTGGTGAAATTGACGCGTACATTTATACAACGCGTACATAAAAAAAGAAAAACCATCGTCGTTTCACAGTGTTTCCGTCTGGACACGACGATCGAAACCCTGACGCGCGCATTAACCGCGTTTCACTCTTAACAGTTTTATTGCTTCTTTGTTTTTCCGTTCACATTGCTAACAGCGACATCTTTACTCTCGTTCCGCGCGTAATAAAATATCATTTTCTAAAAACCAGCATTCTCGATCTGCTTAACCATCGTTTGCGACATTTAAAAAATATGTTTGTTTATTTTTTCTTTCTCCTGTCGCAGGGAACGTCGAATGACTTTTCTCCTGAATTCAGACGCGAATTGTCTAGGCGAGGACAGACACGACGATCCACCGAGATACGTCAGAAATAATACGGTTACGGTGAGAAATGAATGACACGAGAATCCTAACGGAAGTCGAGGTTAACCTGACCCCATTATTCCCATGGACAATATACATGTTTTGTGGATTATGGTGAAGACACCGTTTGATTGAGAGAAAGAACGAACAATAAATTATTAGCTACGGGATTTTAAAGTCCCATTTCTTTAAACTCCTAAAGTGTGAATATCGATCGTATTTCTTGTATGTCCCGGCATACGTAGTTATGTCTACTGGCAGTAGAAATACCACTGTACGTTGTCAGACACGTTACACACGAAACGTTAACGGTTCTCCTCGACCGTTCAAGATCGTCTGGATCTACTACTACTAGTGTGTTGGTCGAACGACGATAGGTCTACCCCGTTTCCCGCGAAATTTAATTTTTTCTTTTCACCGCGCGA